ATTTCACACATTTTATGGTTAGGCCTAATTGATGATTTTGGTCATAAATTTTGGAAATCTCCAAGTGGATGGCCTATTGTAAACAAAATTTAAACAGCATTAGTGTAACATTGAGTTCCATGACTGAAGAGCACATGACACACGAAAGCCGCACCTGTCATGTCAGCCTCCTGATATGAATATCTGAACCCTACTCTGTGCCGTGCCCTCGTTGCCTGTAGCCCTGGCATGCACCTACACTGTGCAGAAGCTAAAGTCATTTAGCACTACCTGGGTGATCCCAGGTGGAGCTAGGCTGGGCCCTGGTACCACAACAGGTTATACTTGAGATTCCCTAGAGGAGTTGAGATTCCCTCGAGGAGGCCTCGGTTTTCCTCAGGAGCTACCGACAACACCAGCCAGCCAACAATTGTCTGCCATTTGAAAAACTTGGAACATTTTGGGTTTTTTGGGGTGACTAATTTTTGAAATTTGGGATAACCATTGAGGCTAAAGATATCACGTACCGCGTAAGGGAAATATTGTCTACCTCAATCAAGAACCTCTGAATACATTACCCTATATTTCAACAGCAGTATAATGCCAAAAGGTGAAAAAAAAACCATACTGTGGTTTTAAGGAGAAGAGCAAAAGCCATCCCCCAGGAAGCCTCTCAACCAAAACTTAATTAATTGGAATAATTTCAAATTCTCAAAAAAAGAAAGAGGAACATCAAGTTTTTTTTAATGCACTTACCCAGAAAGCAAAGAACACTCTACATAAATATTTGGACACTTCTCATTTTCCAATTTGCAATTTGGGAGAAATACCCAACCCCCAAAAAAGCAAGATGTAGTTGACTCTGCTGCAATACATGCAGTACTCGCTGAGCGTGATCACAACTGAAACATTTGCAAGCTATTATTCTTGTGACAAATAAAAAGTAATTACCCAGGTGAATTAATAAACCTGTCCCTTGTCTGAGCTCCAAGTTTGTCTGCTCGATTCTTCCATACTCTTTTACTCTGGAGAGATGTTGCTCGGAGACATTGTGGCATTTCCTCGAAGCGCTGAGAGACGAATGTTTTCAAACACGCCTCCCAATCTACTTCGCCCGCAACGAGGACCAGTAAATTGATTATTTAAGCTTCCCTGTGATTTCACGGCACGGCGGAGGGGAGGGGGGAGTGTGTAAGGAACAAGTCCGATGGGACACTTTGATTTCGTGCACCTTAGGGCCAGATTAGAGCCCCAGAAATGAGATGGTTAATAACAGCTTCCTCCCAGCAATGACTGAGTCACAAACTGCGGCGGTTACGGCCGAGCTGCATTCTTGCAAGAGGTGCGTCTAATCCCTGTGAATCCCTCGCAGCGTGTTTCTAAGCAGCTCAGAACCATCACCCCCCCAAAATGTCCCTAAATGACGCTGCGTGTCATCACGTCTTCAGGCTGCCAATTTTTTCTCCTCCTTCGACTTCCCTTATCGTTCCTTTTTTTTAAAACCAGAAGTACAATCTTCCAGATCAGAAATCTCCCGGGGCAGAAATGTTATTAATTGGAAAGACCCCGACGGAAATTTCTCTCCTTTTTCATGGTTGGGGAGAGGTGACTGTTAATTGAAGGCCGGATCTTCATCCTGCTTGGTGGGTAATTCACCACGAGGCTTGGCGACCAGGCTAGAATATTGGTGTATCTTGTACTTAAGACAGAACAGAGTCATGCATATTCATGGACACGAGGGCGTGCAATATCCTGAAGTCATTCAAAAACAATCGAAAATCACAAAAAGATGGTGCCTGCAAACTGTGCTCTGGAGCTCATGAAATAATGCGCATTACCCTACTCCTTTTATTATCAGCAACACAAGTGCCATTGTATGGGATTTTGAAATGAAAAAAATGTCAGATTCTTACCGAAATTGGATCTGCTCAATTTGAACTCAACACTTGTATGTCTGCAATCTGCATCATGAATTCCTCGGGCTGACACGTTAGCACACCTTGCTTTCCACTGGAAATAAAATAACATAACTGCAATATGAATATCACACTTTTGAAAAGAAATGTTTGAAGCCCATTCCAATTTCAAATCTACTGACATATCTGAAACCGGACAAAATTAGACAAAAGAACAATTGTTTCACTGCATGAGAGAGCTATCTTTTACAAGACAGGGCCTATATCTGAAAAGAAAGGTCAGGACTTCCTTTAAAATGAATGTGAACCTATGAAAATTTAATCAATGGATGACGCCAACAAAAACAATGAACTGATGTGATGTGAAAAATTTTACTATTTTCGTGTAGTGGAGATAGGCTTTAGTTACAAAAAAAGCCTTAAAAAGTCTGAAATAAATTCAAATGAAAAAATTTAATGATTACTGGATGAAAAATATAACCAAAATAGCTGAACAGAACAAAATGAAATTCCTTCTTTTGACATAGGTGGCCCCTTTTACCATAAGAGTTTGAGGGCAACATGTCTCCTGCCTGATACAATTGATGTTCAAATGAATTCCTATTCAACATTCATGAACAATGATCTGCCCTGTGTGGTCCTGTCCTAGTCTGTAAGTTACCGACAGGAATGTTTGGCAACGCTGGGAAGGCTCTGCACAACTTCCCCCGGAAAAGACTGGAGGATTGATTCAATCTGGCGCAGGCAAAGCAATCAAGGAACAAGGGAACCACCGGGGACGATACTTAAATGTGTTTTTGATTCGCCCTGATGATCAAGATGGATGGGCACATTTTTAAAACTGACATGCCGAACACATGTTGGAGGCATGCATGGACATTAGTTAATGGTGATGAAGAACGGTGTCATCACCGATGTCTGATTGCCCCACAAAAGAGGATGGTTTAAAGGACGATTAGGTTTCAGAGAGATGAAATGTTTATGGCAAGCATTTCAATTTTCTAATAAAGTGGGGGGGGGAGGCAAAGGAATGGGTTTCACATTTGCTTTTCTTGGGAAGGGAGAAGAGCCAAATGAAGATCACCTGATGGGGCAATGACTGAATTCTACATTGATTTGGAATGGTTTTTATAAGCCAAATAATTGACCAAATAATTGACCAAATCATTAGTGGATTAGTGGAGCCCACTAGAAATAGGTGTGGATACATATGGTGATTAAAGTATGGTTTGGATAAATGTTAATGTGGGTACGGAGATTTTGTTCATTTTGGAAGAGTGACATGTTTCTCCCATGACGTATGGGTCGGGGGAGGGGGTGTGTGTCCTTCCTCTATGGTTAAAACAAGCTAATGCATTGTGTCCAACGTACTTAGTAATAATCCAGGGTGGACCCAAGAGGTCAATGGGTCCTCCCCCCAGCATAAATGTCTTTGAACATGAGAAAGGCAATGATGTTGTCCAGTTCATTTTCCTTTCTTGCCAAAAGGGTGTTATAAAGTCCAAAACACAGCCTCACCTCCCAGAAAGGCCACAAAAAGTTCAATGAAATGAATTCCAATTTTGTTGGGCCCTTCCAAAGCAACAAAATTGTTCCCGTGGAAAATTTGGTTCTGTACTTGGCATGCTTGGTGATCATACAGTAGACTGAAAGTGGGGTCGGAAGTTCAAAGTCCCATCCTCCTTTAAGGAAATACCTTTTGGAAGAGGACAGAGATAACCTTTCAGGAATCACAAGAGAATAATGATAATGACACTGGTTAAATCGTTCCAAATTCATTTCAATTGCACTCATCTGGTTTGGCATTGTCAATCTAATTCACTAAAAAATTGCCTATGTATATGCCCAGAAGGATATCACAAGCTTTAAACCTAAAACACCTGTCCCGTGCTCGATTTTTGAAAAACCCAGTATCAGGTATATATGGTTCTAGAACCAATGCATGGGGGGGTGCTGGACCCTTGGCACATGACATCACCTTCAACTTTCGCCACGAATCCAACATTTTCCAGCAGTTTTGAATTTTTTGTGTGCACTTTTGTGGGGGGGGGCTAAAGCTCCACCCTCAGAAATGCACCCGCCTGGCATGCATGTTAATACACTCATCAGTAACAAATGTACAGTTTCAACCCGTGTACATAGAGTACATCGGTGGGAAAAAGTGTCCATTTTTTTGGCTGAACGCCTTGGAAGACTGGGCATTAAGAAAAGTATGTCCGATTTTCACAAACTTACCTAACTAACCCCTGGGCATTAAACTTTTTATTGGCTCAATGTATGAGAACAAAAACTACAATGCAACTGGAGAACAGTTGAGGGGGTGTGAATCTCCACCCTCCTGAGACCTTTTAAGGTTAAAGTCATGCAGAACTTACCAGAAGCTTTTATTGTATAATAAACTCTTTTGAAGGGACGGAAATTCAATATATATCTATTCATGAGAAAACTCTACTTTCTGCCTAATCTCTACCCTTTCTTTTTCCAGTCACTTAAAAATAATAGCGCACAATATGACACTGCATACAGATTTACCATAAGGGCTTTATTTCTGAGGAAGTTAACAAAGCCCGAGAGAAAATTTCACATATTAATTAAGGAATGATTCATCAACCTCAAAATAACTCTACAATACTGGCCATTTGGTAACCCACGGCCCAACAATCTTTGGGCAACCCTGTGAATGTATTTAGCCCACTTTGGACGTGTCACATGATCCTTTTCTCCTTTACCGTTTCTTCTGAAAGCTTCCCAACCGCGAACTAATTTCTGGGGTATCTTGCTATAGAACTTCCTTTTAAAGTCAAACGAGGGCGCTATGCAAATTCCCTGATCAACTCCGTTTCCCAATGCAAAGTGTTACACTTAACTCAATTCTCCATTGGCTGTACACACTGAAACCTCAATTCTGGATAGCCCAATGTCTCTTTCATTTGACAAAACCTTCAGCAGTTACAGTGTCAATCATATACAAACATGAACATGGCCCCAATACGCCTTTTTTCACCCACTTTGCTAGATGTAAACAATACCACCGCGTGTGGACCGCCTTGGCCACGGTGATCGCATGTATACCTATGGGCAGCTTCAACCACGTGCAAGGGCACATGCGAACGCTGCATGCTTGACCAGTAGGTAGATTACCATCACAACACTATGCACTCATTACCATCACAACACATCAGACGTCCAGCATGATCGTGACATCACTTGAAAAAGGTCTATATAATCCAACAATTCCTAGATGTTTGTATCTATCACTGTCACTGATATTTGATTATTATTCGCATTCAGATGCTTACAAGTGATTTTGATAATTTTGGTTGGGTGGATGCGTACATGAATATGTAGTTTTATGTTCACGCACAGTACTGCAACCAACTGAGGTCAGCATGATCTACTTGTAAGAATTGTCTGCATATTTCATCTTGACTTCCTCTGGTACCTCCACATCAAGAGGAATGGCCAGCCAGAGCTTTCTGTCGATCTTTTCCAACTCGTAGTTCATGCAGACGTACTCTTTCTCGCCTTTGGTCCCGTCTTCCCTGCTCGTCAGCCCGTCGCCGGAGAAGAGCTCAAACATGCGCAGCTCACAGTACAGGAAAAGCCGTGTCTGCCAGGCGGTCTGCGGCTTGGGCAGCGACACAAACCTGTCGTAGCCCATGTAAAGAGGGCCCGACGGGTCGCTCACGGCGGCGATGAACTTGTAGTCGACCTCTTCTTCAAAAGATGCCACTGGATTGTCCTTGATGGTCTGCCAGTGGGACAGGACCGCTTCCAGAGCGGCGGGGTAGCAGGTGTGGATGAGTTCTTCCATGCCTTCCCACGTGGCTGGTACAATGGGCCTCTGCCAAGTATTGAGAGCTCCCGAGAGCAGAACGATCCAATATTTGGCTTTCTGGATGCATGCCTGGAATAACATTTTTTGTGTGGATTACCAAGTGGCGAGTTATTTGCGTGGATAAAAACAGAAATGGCTCTGAGAGGTAACAACAAAGTCTCTATCTTGGTCTACATGAAGTTTGCTGACACAGCTTTTGGAAACACAATTCAGCTATTAACGGTGAGTTTTTGTTTTTTCTTTCATATTCGCTAACCCCCCCCAGGTCCTTTTTGCGAAGGACCCTCCTCAATCCTCCAGAATCCTCCAATTTGGGAGAAGAAAAAATTCGATTCTCCTTCAACCCTCCAAAATTTCTTGGAAATGTTACTTGGAGGTGTGCCTACTGCCTCAATCCTTCCAAATCCTCCGGCAATTCCTGTCATTATGTTGAGGCAGTGCGAATGGCATTCTTGAACACCGTGGTCGATTCAAAAGAAATATCGGGCTGAATTTATGCATGACTGAGCAAGAACAACACAAGGTCTAACCCACGACCTTCACTCGTGGCATCCTTCACAATCAGCCATGCACTTTTGCCATTCACCCTCAATCCTCCAAAACCACCCGAAGGATTTTGGAGGATTGGGAGAGTTAGGGTTAGGTTTGGCCTATACACTGTGACGAGTATATTCATATTGTATTCTAAATGTTGTCCGAGACTACACTTGAGAATATATGTAAATATACACATCAGCGTATGGGACAATCATCCCAACGCAGAGACAAATTAATACACGTTTCATAAACTTAGTCTCCTCACTTATAATATCATTAGGAGCCACTCATCCTCATAAATCTGTGCAGTAATTTAAAAAGTACATAATCATGACAATGTTCACAGGCTGACAAAAAAGAAGACAATCTTTCATTTCAATACCTTTCCACATTATAAGACGGCCACTCCCTGCTAATGTCCACACGATCGTTTGAAACTACAACCGCATTTATGTGTGACATGTGGTGTGGGGCCCTTCACTTTACCTTTATCTTGTCAAGTCTGAGCACAAGCAACTTTCGGTTAATCTTAAACTTTGGTTTTCAATTTGCAATACTGTCAGCATGGTCAGTGAACAAATTGATAGGGCCTAAATGTAGGCCTAGATAGGCTAGACCTTCATTCATCATAACAATTCTTATTACCTTTAAGTGTATATATTCTGGTAGGAACCCTAAATGCAGCAATAGCTCGTACGGTTTCTTTGTCAAAAGTGCCCCACACACGGTGTCGGGACCGAAAACAAATGCCGTCTTACGGCCGGGAGCAGATGACAGCTTCACGGGGATGTCTTGGCGGTTCGATCCCTCAGTCAAACAAATTCGGCCATAAATTGGTGATTTTAGCAACTGTTTCCAATGTTCCCTACCAAATTCAGAATTTCCTGATCTAATCTGGTTCGAACTGTCGGATTTTATTTCGCTCAATAAAGCCCCAAATTCATCTAAACCGAGCAGGTTTTTTGCCGACTTTCTCGGCGAACTTCCCATGTTGGTTTTTGGTTGCTAATGCCTGGAATCACGATAAACATGATAGTCAGCAACCAGCGACCACTACTGGCGCTTATGACATGAGAAGACGTCAAGGTACCCATATGCCGCGTTCAGCAAAGACTCTGTTCAAGTCTGATAAACTGACTTTAAAAATTCTTAACAGAATCTAAATAAATAATCTTCTTATCACTTCAGGGGATATTTTCAATAGCAAATGTGACAATATTTTGGTATCCAATTCTTGTTTTCCTAATTTCTTCATTGCACAAGCATAAAAAGCGACAACGGTAGAACTTTACTGTAAGTCTAGTTAACCCATAGAGAGGGCGCTACGCATACAAACACAAATTCGAGCAATTAAAGAGAGGTCACTTAATTGTGGGAGTGTTGATCTTTGTTTCACGCCGAAAACGCCAACAATTTACTCCAAAGTAATGGGTTTTCTTCAGTTTTAAAATTAAATAGTAAAAGAAATCTCAAGATACTAAAAAGAAGGTTTGCTGGGTGTGTTAGGTAGGGGACAGGTGACGTATGACCCTCTTGTGAGGGGGTAGGGAGCTACAACGTGGGTGTGTGATGGGCACATGTGGCCTGGGTACACGGGATAGTTAGCAGTAATTAGCCTGAAAAAGTTTGATGGTCTGACACTGCAGTTCCATTTCTCTCAGTTTCACTTTGCTACTAATTAATTACTGAAGGCGAACAATTGGGAAAGGAAAAACAAAACAGCGGGAATGAACAGGACTCGCGGAAATTGAGCATTTAGCAAGAATGGCACCCCTCCTCATTGGCACCAATTAAGTCCTACAAAGAAATTGACCTGGGCTCATGCTAAATTCATTCGCAAGACTGTATCTTGGTCTACATCATAGTGGCACCCCCTTCCAAATTCAAACTTATGAAATGACTAACAAGTGCAAATCAACAAACTGTCTAAGAGGGGTGCCCACTGCAGGATGCGCACATTTTGTTAAGGGCATTTTAGACTGGGGGGGAAGATTACATCACCCCCACCCCAGCCTCTGTATTTACACCTGTGATAACCAAGCAGGGAGAAGGGAAAAGCATGGGTAAGAATGTCACCCACACTCATAACGTTAACAAAAACAAACACCCAAATGGTCTGCCAGACTGGGGCTTGGATTTCCTGAAAAACAGATCCTAGAGACACGACACAAAAACTAAGGAAAGCGTGTACAGCTAATCCAAGAAGAAAATGACTTAAAATGAAGCCACACGACCACAGATGTTTTGGTCCAACTACATTTATTTTACAACATGCTTAGTTTTTCAACAATATGTGCTTGCAGAAATTAAGGTCCACTCCTTACACCGTTTGTTGTTATGACAGGAACCACCACGCTCAGACAACTTGTGTACAGAAATTTGCATTAGATGGAAAGGACAGGTTTAACAGATAATCTCTGCCTTGCTTACACTTTCATGTTTGAAATTATAATTTAATTTCTCTACGTTAAATTTTGATTTAATTTTGGACAAACCTTAAGGAAATGTGACGATCAATTTTTAAAACTGCCAAAAGTAGACAAAATTCATGAAGACAAATGACGAATTTTGAAGAAAATAAAATTAAAAAACTGAAATCAGAAGTCGACAAATGTGGAACTCTCTGCAACTGTCAAACTAAATTTTAAATGCGACATGGACACATAAAATATGCAGGATAAATTTCCACACAGGGTTCATAAATACTGAAATGAAATGTAAATGTCACCCGCTCTGTGAAAACAAGTCGTAAGATGCCAGAGCCACTTTTTGAGTTTTCATTTGTATTGGAAAGATCAAATTGAGTTTTTTGTTTTGATGTATCACTCAGTTTGGCATCCTGGTGAAAGTGGATACTCCATGGTGACAAATGCTGTGGGTTCCTATTGATTTACGCCGTGCAAAACTATTTGAAAGGACTTACCCTCCGAAGTGGCTCTGGCGACTTGTGACTCATTTTCACAGAGTGGGTCACAAAATGAAACGGGGAAAACCAAGTAATAAACTGAAGCCTAGAATTTGTTCTTACAAAGCCTTCTATTTGGAAATACCACCACGTTCACTGAAGGAAAACCACCAAATTAAACGAGTAAAGGATGGACTAAATCAAAGTCATAGCTACTAATCTCAAGCATCTGGAAAATAGTTCTTTGTTGGCATAAATACACAAAACAATAAATAAAGATTAGCAGTTTAGGCACTCAATCTTTTTTAAAAATAATCCCCAGCCTGACAACAGTGTGGCATCCAGATGTGAAACGGTAGCTTAAACCGCACCTTAGCCGCACTTACTCATCAGTGTTAGAAAAAAAAAAATCATTACTACATATATAACCATTACATAATATATACACAACAGCAGAAGCTAAGCGTCGAGCACAAAGCTATTATTGTCATAGCAACCTAGTAACCTGCGATTACCAGTTCTTAATTCAAATAATTTAACCCAGAATTTACACGCTTAAGCACTAGCAAATAATCCTCTCATTCACAAAATAATCCAACACAAGAAGAGACCATATCCACTTAACCGTTACAGACAATTTCAAACTCTGTCAATGACTGCACCTTCCTTGTCTACAGGATACCAGACGCCATATTTAGTAAAGAGCATACTTCGCAATGGAGTACCGAAGTGTGACATCATTTTGAACCCAAAAAAAATACGGTGCAAACGAATGGAGTACATGGGCGTGTTGGTGTATGCGCTGGTTCTCGCGCTAATGCCTTTTACACACAAATTGTGCTCGTGACGTATTCACTTCGGTTCTCTATAACAATGAACGTAAACGTACAATTCTGCAATTAACATTCACTGATATCTCAGATCTGGATCTGGAATTGGCCATTACTGTATTTAGAACACCTTAATAGTGAGACACTGACCCCAGATTGTTGACATCAAATCTTGTGGGAAGTTCAAACTTCGGATTGTACTCATTTTAACTTACGTTATTTCAGTTTGAGAGAGAAAAAAAAAAGAAATTGGCTCTGAAATCCACTAAATACTATCCAACATCACGTCATGCATAGAGACAACCTTGATAAAGTTTGAATGAAAAGGTGCATTCTCTTCGTCAACTTTTCAGCAAAGCCATTTCAAACACTGTCACTCGGTAGACGCTTTAATACAAATCATGGCAAGCCACTCCATGGTCGGAAAGTGACAAGTACCGTTTGCACGATGCTGGAGGCTTGGAGGTCAGTTCACAGTAAGCTTTCAGTTCATACGATGCACGCTTCCCTTAGTATGGGCTTGAAATTCTTTATTTGACAAAACCAAGAAGAGTTTGAAGGACACCCAACATTGTTTACATCAGTTTTTACTCTGGAAATCCCAAGATATCACACGGAATTCAGGTGGAGAATACAATGTTTCAAAAAGCGGATAAGCCTTGGCAACCTGACTCGCATTTTGTGGGAGAGGAAAGCAAATGTCTGCAACCGCCAAGCTGACACCAGAGTGTTGTCACGGCAACCTCCGATTACAACACCCTCATGAACAAATGCACACTCCCTATGTTCACAATGCGAAGGCGTTGCTGCAACGTCTTCAGTCACTTTGTACAAACATTTTGGTTACAGGACACTTTTTCTTCACAGCACCGACTGGTACTACATTATGTGACGCAACAATGACTGCTCAAAGCAGATGTTTCTGGATTTTCAGTTGGATGACATTTTTTATAAATCAAAACACAATCCTGGACAATTTTGACAGCACTTTTGTGCACAAAGTTTCACTGTTCTGACAACTTTTCTATCCCAGAGTTTTTGTTAAAGCAAACCGGTTACCCTTGAAAACAATGTACAGATAGCTATGATGTAAGAAATTTTGTTTGCTGTTAACAGGCAGTATAAAAATAATAAATACAACTGAAATCCTCTTAAAACCTATTTCAATAGCTTCAATATAATAAACCATGAATACACCATAACTAAATGGCAAAATATTACAATTCTAAAATATCACAGAGACCTAAACTTTCTTATTTTGGGTTATCAGAAAATCACAGTAACTTGTAGCAATCTCTCACCAAATAATTTCACTAAAATTGAGATAAGTCAGGTCAGCCTGTGACCTTTGACCTACGAGTGCAACCTGTTCATGACCCCCAACTTGTATCAAAAATATCTACAGTGGCAAGTAAAAAACTTAAAAACTGGGCAACGAGCTTGAAAATCTAAATCACTTTGATCACCTCTCTCATATTCTTCTTTTAAAGCTACAAACTTTTTAATAATTACAAAGATCATACTTATCTCTATTTAACTAAATATCTGTTTCCAACAAAATTCCAATATTCTATCCTTACAAGAAAGAAAAACTGACCAGAAAATGCCAATTTCAGGAGTTAAGTCCACATGTTGCCAAATTTTCTTGGCTCAACTAATTCTTCGGTTCATATACACAGTATTCGCATCAAAAGCGGTTGTAGATATTTCTGGAAGGAAGCACCAATGTATCTTGAGATCAAGAAGAATCTTGGTTACTTGGCCTACTACATACACCGGTCCATCTTGGCTGGCCTACTACATGTAAAGCAAACCATTGGGCGTGTCTGACCGGTCTGGCTAGGATTGTGGCTGTGAATTCGTAGTTAACCAGTGGTGCACCTATTGGCTAGCCATATCCCGAAATGGGCCATTCACATGCGGCTTATGAAACGTAATGAGATTCTGCCTGACGTGGACTGGTGCCTACCATGTAAGGTCCAGTCTACTGTGATATGTATCACTACCATGAGAAATCTGACCTGTAGCAACACTTATCATGATTGTTCATGAACTTGACGACAATGTGCAATATCCAATACAGCAACAGACAAAAATGCACAGCTGATCACTCAACAAGCTAGCGCGAATGAGCCGCCTTACTGGTATCCAGCATTTACTTGTATGCTCAAAACAATATTATGAACATTTACTCCCATCCTCTCAGAGTTTCGGCCAATTATCTTCCTAGATCCTTCAAAATCCTTCATTTTGGAACACTCTTTGTGTTCCCAGGGGAAATCAAGCCTACAGCAACAGTGGTCAGGCCCACTGCCTCTGAAACCCTGCAGAATCCTCCTGGAAGGTTTTGATGGATCTAGGATACCCCCAACCAACAATGCATGGAAGATGTTAAACCGCACTCCCATATTACAAAACTGACTTGGATTGGATAAAACGCACTTATATTGTTTGCATACATCATATACACGTTTATAAAAAAAGAACACCCAGCTTGGTAGCTTTTTGCACATTGTTGTTACTACTTATAACACCTGCTACTAGGGTATTGCTGTTAGCCTTTAAAGCTCTGCTTTTTGTTTGCGTCCAGCCTGTCAGTTCATATTCTGGGAGCTGAGCGGTCATTGGAGATAGTACGCCTCAGCTTCACGCCTCGTTTGATTTCTGCGAGGATGCCTACTCCTTCATCGCTGTCTGAACTGTCACTGTCTCCTTGGTTACCTGACTGTGAGGTGATTTGGGAGTGTCCATGACTCGGCTGACCGCCATACTGGCTGGGCTGCAGCGGGGCGCCGTGTTGCAACTGCTGCTGTAGCTGCTGTTGGACTTGCTGGAAGCTCGGAGTTGAGTAGGCTTGCTGCTGCTGCTGCGGCGGCGGCAGATTGGGCGGTTTGTAAGCACCGTGGGGTTGACTGTACCGCTGCGACGGCAGGCCCTGCTGCTGTCCGTTGTGCTGGGGCTGCTGCTGCTGCTGCTGATACTGGTTCTGTTGGAAGTGTTGCTGCTGATATTGATGCGTTTGCTGCTGTTGTTGCTGCTGCTGGTATTGGCCTGGTTGCTGTTTATACTGCTGTGTTGATTGCTGTTGTTGATAGTGTTGTGTTGACTGTTGTTGATAGTGTTGTGTTGACTGTTGTTGATAGTGTTGTGTTGACTGTTGTTGATAGTGTTGTGTTGACTGTTGATACTGTTGTGCTGACTGTTGATACTGTTGTGTTGACTGTTGTTGCTGCTGCATTGGCTGTGCATAGTGCTCTGCTTGCATCTGTTGCCTTGGTCCAGCATCTTGTTGAGGCTGTGCTGTTCCGCGCTTTGCCAGCTTGGCGTTCAGACTCTCCATGAGATTCATCCGGGCCAAGTCGCCCGCCACGACATCCCCGGCCAACTTGAGACTGTGGCTGCGATGCACCCGCCCCTGGGACCCACCCCCAGACTGCTGCGCCTCCCCGCCGTACGGAGCTTGCACCGTGCTCTGGCTGCGAACCCGCCCCGGGGTGTAGGGGCGTTTGAAGTAGGCGTCGTCTGGCCCCTCCCCGACCGCGCCCTGAGCCTCCGGTGTGATGCTCATGCCGGCAAGGGAGCCCCCCGACGGGGTGCGTCGTATTGGCGGAGGGGGCTTGCTCTTCCGCAATGAGCCACTCGGTGTGGTGGTGGTACCCCTGATGGCTGGTTCCCCGAGGGATGCAGTGGGCATGCATGACATGGACATAGGTCGGCGTGTAGGAGAGTGGTTGGGTGTGGTGGTGTACACGGACTCCGTGGCTTGGAAAGAGTGAACAGGTGGCTTCTCATTATCGGTGACATTTTCCATGCTGTCCTCCAGGGAATGGTGCCTTCGATCTGCCACAAACAGACAAGAATCACGAAGAGTGAATATCGTTTAACTGTTTATCTTCGGGTATGGACTCCTCTAATGTGCTTAGCAAAACTGGCACAGCATCAGTTATGAACCCCATACATAAAGTAACCTTTTGGCTGGTAACCTAGTTTTTTGCCGAGCAAAAATTCTTCTGAGATCAGCAAACTTTTGAACTGAACAACTCTGTGAAACTGGCCCTTGCCCATGGATACTATTGCAAATTGGCCCGTCTCTATGGACACTGTTGGATCCCATGCCCTGTGAAAAATATTGCAAAATGGCCCTCGGCAATGGATACTACTGCAACTTCGTCATTGCATATGGATAGTACTGCAAATTGGCCCTCACCTATAGATGCTGTTGCAAATTGGCCCTCACCTATGGATACTACTGTTGCAAATTGGCCCTCGCCTATGGATACTACTGCAAATTCATCATTGCCTATGGATAGTGTTACAAATTGGCCCTCGCCTATAGATAGTGTTGCAAATTGGCACTCGCCTATGGATACTGTTGCAAATTGGCCCTCGCCTATGGATACTGTTGCAAATTGGCCCTCGCCTATGGATAGTGTTGCAAATTGGCCCTCGCCTATGGATACTACTGCAAATTGGCCCTCGCCTATGGATACTATTGCAAATTCACTCTTGCCTATGGATACTGNTGCAAATTGGCCCTCGCCTATGGATACTACTGCAAATTGGCCCTCGCCTATGGATACTACTGCAAATTGGCCCTCGCCTATGGATACTGTTGCAAATTGGCCCTCGCCTATGGATACTGTTGCAAATTGGCCCTCGCCTATGGATACTGCTGCAAATTGGCCCTCGCCTATGGATACTACTGCAAATTTGTTCTTACTAATGCTGTTTTGGGGCCCCCTACAGACGATGCCATTTCACAGCTCTCGCCTCCGTCATCAGAGATTAGTTCAATGCTGTGCAAGAGACCGTGGAACTCTTGAGGTCAAGCCAAGCTGTGGTCAGGTACAAACCTTGCAACGTCAGCATTTCGTCAGAGTTGGTCCCCGTGGTGGACTGGGTACTGTAGCCACTGGAGGTGCTGAGCGATCCATGGCTGCTGGTTGTGCCGTCGGAATCCAGGGAGTACAGTGCTGACGGCATTGAGCTCTGCCAAAATAGTGACAGCGACACGAAATTCATACAAAGCGTTTCGGGCAATGTCTCCATGCTCGTAAATTGATTCAGAAATGAGTGGGGCTTCCCAAAATGTTGGATTTGTCTCCATCTGTGCCTTTTGGCTTAACTCTTATGGAATCTGTCCCGAGTTGAAAGCCTCTAAAATGACGGCATGGCAGACGAAAATCATTTCACAGTGAATTCAGTGCTGGTGCAATTTTAACATTAACCTCTTGCAAATTATGTAGTTGAGTTCTTATGTTTGGACCACTGTCAATATCATATATTGGTTTTTTGTGACTACCCTACTCACGTGTGTGTGCCTTCTCGCCGGTAGCGTGGCGCTTCTCTGTCTGTAAAGGTCAGCGTTTGACAACGGTTGTCCACTGGCACACAGGGGACGAGGCACGACTGTCAAGCAAACAGGAGTCAATGCAGTTATCAAGCACATCCACTGATTTCTTCACCAAAAGGTCCCAAAGCGGGAAGTTAGTTTCTCTAGATCTTACTTGTCCATTTTCCACACAAAGTTTGATCCTCATTTGTTTCAATATAATTTTGGTGGAAAAAAAACCCAGAGAATTCTAAGTTCAGTAAAAAAAATAGACACCGAACTCAGTGGGTCCACACATAAACAGATCACATTGAGTGCATTTCGGGATCTGAGCATCCATTCATCAATACAGTAAGTTATCAGCCTCAGTCCGTGTGACTCCGCCATACTGCACGAAATGTCTCTGCTCTGTCTTCATCTCTCTACAGGATCTTGGAAAATGATCTATTACATAACAAAACCCCTTCCATCTGCAAAAAAAATCCACGGTCATCCGACAAAAACCTGTTTCTAAATTGCAGATCTAAAAGCAGGAATTGGACAGAGACACAACACAAGTTTACTCTTCTAACTGGCCTTACAATGTTGAGATGATAATCGAGAAGTAGCCTGACTTTTTGAAAATAAACACCACACAGCGCTTGAAATATTTTTATCACGAAATCATAATCCACAAGTTTTTATGAGTTGAAGCTTACTTTGGTTGGACTGGGGCGTGTTGAAGTCAGGCACGAAGGGCGTACTGCCGGCCTTGGCATCGCCCGTCTTGGGCTTGGGAGACACCAAGGGCTTATCGGCGACTGGCGGCGGCGGGGGGCGGGTCCCTGACGGCACCAGGGGGGTGGGGATGCTCTTGGGCCGCTGCAGCTTCTCCGACTGGCTGAAGTTGACTAGCCAGCTGGGCGGGGGCGGTGCCTGGGAAGGCGGGATGGTGAACTGGGAGGCGGTTGGGGGTGGAGTTGGGGAGGAGGGCGTGCTGCACTCGCTGGAAGACTGGTGCTCCAGCTCATAGGGGGTGGAGGCACAGTGCAAGAGTCGTTGCTACAGGTGGAAAAAAAAACAGGTGGCTGGGTTTGGGCGGATAGTATCAATAAGGGTTGAGGCAAATCTTTGTCAAAAAAATTGAGAACAAAAAACAATGGATAATAGAAAAAATATGGCAATAAGATGATAGAGATTCTTACAGGAGTCGTTCTACAGAACTGCATAATAAGATCTGTTCAGCCAGTACTTCAATGTCTACATTGTAATGGACTTTTGTGAATGTGACTCGAACACAGAAACCTTGCAACAGGCTTAATGTCCTAATTAGGTAGAAGCTCAGAGAAAGAGCTGTTTGAAAGTTGAACAGATTTGGCTTTTTAGCTGAAGGAAGGTTCTTTGAAAAAAAAATGCCCAAAAGGTTGAGGTTAATAATGTACAGAAGTGCATCGCTTGAAAGTAAGGCCGTGTCCAAATCAGTTCAAGTGGTTCACAATATAGTGCACTACGGACAGATTGCCATGGAAAGGCCATTTTCTCAGTGCATTGTGGGAAGTGGATGTTTGTTTGTCAGGGAAGAAGATTTCGTACATAAATTTCAATTAGAAGCTTTAATTAATCCCTTCTTCTATCTACTGCATGGAATATCTCAATCTACACGTATCAAAAATTTGTTGTTTCAAATCTATCCAAAAAGTTGTTAACAGAAATACGACCCTATTGGCTGTGGCTAGTGGCACTATATGTGTGTGTATCAACCGCATGTGCGCTATCTCCAACCGCAGCCATAACTCCAGGGACAAAGCCTGAAGATTACCACCAACCTGCGCCGTCTCTTCGGGCACCGTCTGAGGTGGGGTGCCAGGCTGGGCCGGGAACAGCATGTCCTGGGAGGTGAAGCCAGAATCCTGAGAGGAGACGCTGGAGAGGCGGTAGGCGCTGTTGGGCTGCGATAGGCTGCGGTGACGGACAAAGTTGGCCCCGGGGGAGTGGGAGTTGGTGGAGCTGCTGGAACGCGAGTCTGAGCTGGTCATGCTGCTCAGACTGCACATACTAGACTTCCGGGAACCAGACGAGGGTGAGGGGGAACCTGGGGGTGTCTGTGGAGAACCGAAATAAAAGCTTCATTAGATACATAAAGAGAAAATATTTGATCAAACAGGAGACATTCTCAAAGACATCTCATGGAAGTATTTTACAATGTGGACAATACTCAATTTCACAAATCATGAGCTAGTTCAGGTTTCCATTCATTGTTATTTGAGTCCAGCTTGAGAAATACATTTTGTTACTCACAGTCTAACTCAAGCCAGACTCAAATCTGACCCAAAGTGAAGACTCAAACTGAGTGAAGACTCCAACTCCGATTGAAGACTCAAACACCGAGTGAAGACTCACTCTGAATGAAGACTCAACACTGAGTGAGGACTCAAAACTCTGAGTAGCAATTTGAGGCAGTTTCTCACACACCTGGTACGCCAACTTGATCTCTTGACCCTTAATGTCCATGATGACCTGTTCGCTGGAGGGGGGCAAGATGTAGGGGTCCTTGCTGTGCTCCACCAGTTCACCGAGGACTGACTCGAGACGTGTCACCTCGGATAACATCGATATCTCCTCATCCTAAACAAATGTGAAAGAGAAGTACACCTGCACTTCTGATTTGTAACGTGGGTCATGTCTCCAAAAACCATCACTATTAAATCTTATACCTGACCCAACCTAACAACTGAGTCGCAAGGCACCATGGCCACTTTGGGGTTTATTAAAACAATCTTCCCAATGTAAAAAAAAAGGCACCCTTAAATTTTTTCACCAATATAATGCCTATTTTCCTAACAGACGAGTGATACATCAAAACATAGTGCCTATCAGGGTTCTTGCAGAAATTTGAAAACTAAATTCCATAGCTTTTCAAGGACTTTCAGGAACAAAAGGTGACAATTTGCCTGACGTTTAATACCAGTTTGCAGAGGAAAGTTAAAATAGTTTGGGGTTTTTGAACTGGAGGACTGCCACAGCCACGACTGTAGACTACCAGGAGAGCCTGTATATTCACATCATTCCATTATCTCATTAAAAAGAACCCTTACATGATCTTGATTTCAATGACTTTCAACGAAATTCTTCCTCTAACAGGACTCCAGGACACCGCATTTTCCCCCAAGTTTCAATGACTTTCCTTTACGACAGTTTTCTAGGTTTTCCAAGATTTCTCCTGGGAACCATAGCCTACCTATAATCCAAAGATATGCCACTATAGTATTGTAATGGCTTCTAATTCTGGTTCCCGGTTTTCGATGACTTTCCTTTACAACTTTTTTCCAGGATTTCTCCTGGGATCCATAGCCAATCTATAATCCAAAGAGATGCCACTATTGTAAGGGCTTCTAATTCTGGTTGCCGGTTTAGTCTCATTCCCAGCCGCAGCCATGTGATTGGGACACGGCTTTTGCTCACCACGACTGGTTTGAAGCAGTTGATGAGCATGCAGAAGCGGCTCCTCTCCTCAATCATGCCTCCCCGGACGGCGTTCTTCTCTTGCTCCTCCAACAGCAGGTACATGTCATTGACATCGTGCATGGCGCTGTCCAATCGATACTGGATGTCTGCTTTACCTGCGGTGATGAATAAAGGTAAATGTTAATTCCTGTGAGACGCTGATCTCAGCCCAAGTGATGGGACTCTATACTCAGCTCTCTGTAACTGGACGCAATTAAATTCTTCAAGCCTACCCAGACGGGACTGGAACCCACAACCAACCCCATGTGTACTGCAGCAGTGCAGGACATTCAAGCAGACAGCTACGTGTACAAGTAAACACACATGTAAGGTACACTATTAAAACTGACAGACCAAAGCCCAACTCAGAGCGCTTACCAATTTCACTCTGCATAACTACATGTATAGTTTTCAAGATGTATTTTTGCGTTGGGGAGATGTTAATTATATATAACGGGTTTGCCCTTACCCAACGTATAT